GTCTATTGTGAACGTTGATTTTGAATTTTCATAAAATTTACCCTTAATACTGTGGCAGTGTAAGTTGATGTTACGTTTATTCGCGCTTCCTCATTATATTCAAGATCCTTAATGAATTGCTTCACCTCGGCAGTGGAAAATGATGATTCAAAATTCGATAAAATCTTTGATGCCTTGTTTTTGGCATTTACATGAACATTACACTTGTCTTGATATCTTTTTAATATTTTATACATATCGTCTTTGAATTTATCGATTGTGGCCACAGATAATTTGGGGTTCGATTTCGATCGCGCAAATTCTAGAATTCCGAAAAGAGACCAATTTTTATTAAGTGTTTCAAGATATTCCGTCACCACAGATTCAAGCATCTAAAAAAAAATTTAAATGCAAATTATTAGTCATTATCCGTTTTGGTAAAAGAGCCATTGTAACATTTACAGTCAACTGTACACTGGAAAACAGCATACTGGGACTCGGACCTTAGACACGTATGCTTAAGGACAGCCCAATAGACTGCCTCCAAACATCTGAATGTAGGACAGGATGGCCTAACGACAGTAGGTATAGTGAGCGTATCCTGGAAAACAGCATACTGAACTAGACTGCCTCCAAACATCTGAACTCAGAACGGGAAGGCCTAACGACAGTAGGGATACGCGTGACTGTAAACTTTACCAAAGATCAAGAGCTACAAAGATATAGAAAAAGATTAACCTTATTTTTCTACTTTATACTCGAAACCCTGTTCTGCAGTAGTATATGCGTTCAGAACGTTAAACGATCAACTTATGTTACCATCGGTTGGGAGAGCAATTGTGGATATTGATCCAATTTAGCTCGGGATTTTATAATACTTATATACGTGATATGATGTCACGAAACTCTTAAGCTGAGTCGGGGTTATCACTTAACAGATCAACTTCAATTATCAGGGGAGGTAATTTATTATACGTATAACGATAATATAAGAAATGCAAAGTAATAATAATATATAATAAAGAATAATACAATAATAAAAGAATAAAACTAAACTAATAAACTAATACTACACATGTAAGAATCCGATTCTTATTATAAACTCTATAACTAAGACATCGAA